CAGAGGTAGGCATGAGAGGAGAGGATTTTCAAACCCATGCAAAGAAAGGGACATTCTTAATTTTTAAAGATGTATATAAGCTATAAGTGAATGTGAATATTGGTAGTGAACATTTTCCAATTAGTTAAAAAGATGGCTATATACTAAATGTTTTTTATTCCTGTCACTATAAGTACAAGTTTAATTACAGTTATAGCTGGCATTGGTAACAGGGAGGGTATTAAAGGACAAAGATCCAATCCTTCTTCTCGGTTATTTTATAAAGAAACATTGAACATGAAATAGACTGTACCACTTGGCCCTCTAGTTTTTCATTAGCCTATAGCAATAGTTTTCTGCAGAGGTCTGCTGGACTAAAAGTCTCCTCCCAAGGCTGTTTTCTTATACCTTCATTGTCTGGAACCAGAAAAAGAGACATAACCTTACTTCTGAAGTACTTCAGTATTCAGCCAAGCTATTCAGGGACAACACCATGACATAGGATTTAAAAACAAATTAATAAAATTTCAGGGGTCAGACACATGTCCTTGGTGCCTGTATTTCTATTTCTCAACTTGGTTCAAATAGTGAAAATGCAAGATCTGGATCCTTACATTTTACAGAGGAATATTTGTTAAACATTAGACATGTGCTATTTACTTATATATTACAATAAATATAGGAAAGCTTTACACTGAAACTAAATTCAAATACAGGGCCTTAAATAACCAAATGATTTAAATCACTTTGATTAATCACTAGAATATATTAAAATATGATTTCAGCATATTTTGCACAGAAAATGTCTTTTAGTCAAACTCTAGTTTCTCCCTTTCTGTCTGGTCCATGCGTAATTCATGAACCTTTAAACATTATGAGATTCTAGAGAGCTAAGCTGACATTTTTACTTTCACTTAGCAGCCTGAATAATTGGTACACTCCAAGCATTTTAAATACTAAAGTAATTATTGCTTTGAATTCATCTTGTGATGTCATAGCAGCTGACAATTGACATAATAAATTTCAAGAATATGAAAGCTCGAAAAGAATGTTAGGAATATCTTAATACATAACAATTAAATGATCTATAACTAGCAATATATTCTGAAGTTATCTTTAATGAAATGCTTTTTAGTTGTATGATGTATTGTTATTGGTTTTACATTTCTAAGAAGATAATTTGTTAATTTTTTTAGTGTGTTTTCTTCAAAGTCAGAAAGAATGTATAGGCAAAAATATCAAAACTATTTAGTATCTTGAATAAAAATGGAAGTTCAGTGATAAAAATTAAAAATTTGACTTTCAGTGTAGGAAGCTGCCAGGAACTATGTTGATTTCTCCTCCTTAGGAGCTGGTCTGTAAGCCAGTCACAATCAAGAAACAAACCACTATAGCTTCCATCAACTGTAATACAACATAGGAGCTGGCTACAAACTACATCAAATTGCAGTTGGCAACTGATTTCCTAGGAGGCACTGGAGGACCTATAGCCCCCCAACGACCAGTGCATGGTGCAGATCCTGGTCCCACAGTTCAGAAATGTCCTTGTTGCCATCTAGTCTTCCTTAAGATTTAGGTCAGGTTTGTCCCAAGCTACGCAATTTCTGGAATAAAAGCCCATGATTTAGAGTACTGCAAATGAATTCTCTACTAAGGTAGATTTTCTCTGGTTAGGGTGATTTGAGCAGATTGAATATCTATATTCAATAGGTATTGAATAGAAAGAGAAGACATCCATCAAAACGGAAGACCAAAAGTTGAGTATTGCCTTTGGTGCTTCCTAAATAACATGGGACATATCGTTTTCAGTTAAAAGGACATCAGCAATTCTGACTACAGAAATGAGCACAGAGACAGTTTATGTAACATTGTATTTCTACAGCACCTATCCTTATTATTTAATCTTCATTTTCTCCTTTAATAAAAATAGAAATAAGAGAATAAGTGTTGTATTTACCGCTGTGCTTGCAAGAGGCATGATCTTGGAGTATATACACTAACAGTTCCAAAATCATCACCATGTAAATGATTGTATGTATGATCTTTGAGCACCTATGCAATTCACTTTCTTTATCCACTTTCTTTATCCTCCACAGGCAACAAGATATGTACTGAATACCAACACATTGGGGTGGGAGAAAAGAAGTCCCACTGTCCTTCTCAATAGATCTTTAATTATTTGGTGGAAAAGACAGTAGCTTAAAATAGAAAGAGTGACAGAGGTTGCTCTCCCAAGCTGCACAACCACATAGAGGCATGGATTGTAAGCAAAAGTGGTAATCAAGACACTTCTTTTGGACCAAGTCCCATTGCTGTTCCAGGTCAGTGACCTCTCCTGTTGGCCATTTAAGTGAATGCCAAAAACAGTGATGGGGAGAGGTGTTGTTTGGCTTGGGTTTCTTTTTTTTTTTTTTTTGAAGGAAGACAGAAATGAGGATAGACTGCATTGACTTAGTAGGCTTTACCCAAAAGAGTGTCCATAAGTCTCAAAAGTTTTCTCTTTCACCTCCAAACTCAGATACCTCCTTGATCTTTCTGCTGGCTTTCATGGCTCCTCTCTAGTTTTTGTATAGTAGGGCAGGAGTTCTATATGGGTACAAAGAATCTAAAAAATATAGAGTAAATTACTTAGGACTGCAATGTCAAAAACCTTTGTAAAGGAATGCAACGAGCATACCATTGACAGTACAAAAGCAGAAATGGTAGAAGCTGATCAGATCTAATAACTGTTTCAAGATAAACCTGTGTGAGTAACAGAACATGCATTAGTATGAAATTTTATTTACTTTAGAGTAACACCAAACATTTGCAGGGAAGACTGATACACTATTGCTTTGGACACACCATAATCACTGATAACAGAAAGCGTTTTCTTGGAAAATAGCATGTTCCATCTCAGAGGAAATATCCTTTACATATTAATTTATAGTATTCATAAGGATGAAACTGAATCAATCAGTTAAGCTTATGAAGGTGTGTTAAAGTAATGTAACTGATGATTATGCCATGTTCACAGCCTAGATTTTAAATTGAAAAAACTAAGGTTCATATTCCTCATATCTAAGTCTACCTCTCCAAACATGAGGTATCTCCCTAAACTGTCTAACACCCTCTGCAGTCAACAGGAAAATGAAACCTTCACAGAACAGTTCAATCTATCCCTAGCACAACTGGGATAAATATTGCTAGGGATCTCTCTATATAGATTTTTTAATTGTAGCACAAACCTAGACAACTGGCTCTGGTGGAAAAGGTTTTTCTTTTCACGATGTATCACCAGCGCATGCAAATGCATTGCATTTTTTTAACTTCGCTAATTAAACTATGGTGTTCACCCAAAAGTTTGTTATTTAACTTGTTACCCAGATGAAGAAAGGTCAGATATGAAAAGAGAGGAGTTCAATACCTGAAAAAATAATTAATGCTCATGTTCATAACAAATGCTTGCCATATCGGCAATGTATATCTTACTGCAAAAGCTACATAAGCTTAGTGTATAGGCTGAGGGTTCAAAACTTAGTAGCTCTAGCAGTGAAAGGTAAAAATGCCAGAACAATTAAATGAGATAGGGCAAATATTCTTGCCCACAGAGAGACTTCAAGAAAGTAAATGTAAGCTTATTTTGCTGAAGGAAATTTCTCTGAGACATCTGGTTGGTAGATATCTCAAATAATTGTTTACACAGTGCCTGTGAAACACAAGAACCTGGAAGTACAAGCTTTTCACAGAAATTCCTTAAAATACTAATGAAATGAGAATTATAATCCTGAAATGTATTTTCAGAATTTAGTCTATCTAAAAGGTTTGCAATCAGGATATATCTTCATACACAGCTATCTGATATTTAAAGATTGGTTTATTCCACGTATCTCTTGAGTTTTATAATGGATTATATATGAAGCAGATATAGAAAATATGTACCCAGCATACAAGTGCCAAGCAGTGATCATGATACAAGCATGATTAAGCTGCAGTCCTACATAAATCATAGTAGTGACAAAAACTCCCGTGATAACAGCCTATAAACAAGATAAGTTCTCTACTGCAGAAGAAGTGGGTTTACATTCTCTGAAATGAGTGAACAAAGATTTCCATATGGGTAATTACCATAAGGCTGACTGGAGTTTATGCAAAATCAATTACTCAAAAATTCCTGTCTCTTTACCACATGAAAGGCAATATGAAAATGAAGTTAATCATAAAGATAATTCTATCACAGCATCTAAGAACAAAAGCACTAAATTATTTTTAATGTCTAATTGTTTTGTTTACTATTGTAATTGCTAAGGAATTCAGAAATCAGCAAGACGGCTTCTGCAAAAGTGTCCTATCTCATTAACTACAACAGCAAATTGAAATGCGTTGCCCAAGTTTTACTTGTAGCTAAAGTGACTCATCATATTAAAGTTTTCTATATTTCCATCAGTGTATTCATTCTTTCTATAATTAAGGAAGCAATCTAAGAGTTGATTGAAAAGGACACATTTGTTTCCTGTCATCACTGATGCTTGAAACCATAAAAATAAAAAAATATTGATGAAAGTCCTTTGTTACTACAGAGCCAAAAGGGCAATAATCCATTTCTGTTTCATTATATTAAGGACATGAAACTGCATTAAAAATATTTGCAAATGTAAAATGTATATTACAATTAAAAATTTTGAACTTTATATAACCATTTGCAAATTATAATGTCAACTTTAGGAGATAGCACTCTCTTTACAAACTAATGGAAAATGAGAATGACTTCCTGCTAATTGTTCAATTATGTCATTCTTTCGATTTCAAATATTTCAGTTATTTTAATTTCAATTACTTTTCTTCATCCGTCAAGAGAGTTTGAGAGTCATAGAAGGTATATCATTATGTCAATTTTAAATACGTGAAAATTCTGAGGTATAGCTCCCCCAAAATTATCAGTCTCTATATTTTTCAATTAAAGATTTGTTCCAGAGGAACAAAACTTCAACATGTTTTCCAACGTATTAAAAGTTACTTTAGTATTTTAACTGTATATTGGCCTGTTGAAATAACTTGACTCTTTAAGGGTGAATGCAAAGGCACTACTCACAGATGAATACTGTATCTCTTGGTAAAAAGAGTTCTTTTATGATACAGTCTTAAAATTAGAAGAGCCTGATCTAGTGTGTGATTAAATTTATAACATAATGCATTTTGCTGAAGGGTAAATTATTGATGACACTATCCTTAGTCATAAATGTATATCTTTTCCAAAAATATCACAGCAAAGCTGAACAAGGGAATGAAATTTCAGTTTTATTTATTACCTCTCATATACTTTCAAATTACTTTACAGCAAACAAATCACCGCAGGCCAATTCATCTGAAACAATCTTGACTTTCCAGAAAACAATAACAGTAGTGAAGGCTTGAAATATGACAAAAATTTGGATGCAGATTGAGGAATTTTAAGAGAAATATGATGTATTGTTAAATTCCATGGAGTGTTTGATCTTGTTTCTACCATTGAAAAAGAATGTGTTATGATGCCCTTTCATACTGTAGTTTTCAAAGTTTCTTAGAACTTACAGGATATATTAGGTACACTCCTGACTCAGCTTTATCAACAAAAGGTGTTTTCCTTTTACAGGCACGCTAGGATAGGTGAGAAAGACCTGATGAATACCAATTTGGTTGTGAGTTTCCAAATAAATTTATTTTTAATTCAACATTCAAATAATTACATTAATTCATTTCTGAAAGCAAAAGCTTAAACATATATAAGCTGCTTAATACAGTTTAGAAGAGCAAACTGTGGAATATCACAGGTAGAGTGTACATTCAAAGATGGTAGAAATGTACTTTTAGAGTAGAAATACATGAAGTTTTGCTAGCATTCCCTTTAAAGTATTGTGCCTGGTTTTTATGTGTTGTCTTTCTGATGAAAGAGAAAAGATGGCTGCTTTGTACTTTTCTATCTCCCACTCACAATCTGCAAAAAAAAAAATTAAAAATATCACAAAGATGATTTATAATAATTAGACTTTTAAAACAATAGTTAATCACTTCATCTGTCTTTTGGAGACAACATGATCAGTGATCCTGCCTGCTGCCCCGTGAGATGGAGACCTATTTTGTTGCTGCTTCTTTGTGGAAAATGAGATGTTCAGGTAGCAGTTTTACTCTAGCATTGTTATTTGAAGTTTTGCTGTAAAATAGCAAGAGCTGGCAACCATGCAGTACAAACACAGCATGAGATTTTATGAGAGCTGAATCTTGATGGGGGAAGGTGTACAAGTCGTGAAAGATGTCCCAAAGGACTGAATGTTTTTCTGTGTTTTTTTCCCAAATGTGGAATGAAATCCTAAAGCATTTGTTTCTAAAATCTCTGCTATAAACTCTCCCATCCCTATAATCTCGTCAGTTCTGGGGCAACAGAATCTCCAAGGTCAGCCTTGCTGTTAACTACAACGTTTATATTTCTCCTCTATTTCATTGCAGTAGAAAGGAACACATGATTTATTTTTAGTGAGTTGCTCAACCCTACACAAGGAACTCAGTAAGTGACTTTTTTTTGTTTAAACTGATAGGATTGCCAGTGATAGCACTGCTCACAGTAGTATTAACTACATCTATAAACTCCAACATCACTTCTCTTGGCTCAGCCACAGTCGTATGTTCTTCAATTTTTCTTTGTGATATTTCAGGCTCTTTTTTCCACATGTTGAATAATGTGCAAGATAAACTGGCATGTGTTATGAGACCAGTACAGCATGCGTGGGTGAATTAGTTACATTATCAGTATAAATGACAAAAAAGTCTTCTGACCCATAACATATGTTTGGGTGAGAAGAGAGAGATGCAAGAGAAAGCAGTAATGACATGATACTGCTATTCTGTCTTAAAACAGATGTTTCTTTTAATAAAGCAAGAATTGTATCAACAACAACAAAAAGTTGTTTAGTGTTCAGTATTCTTTTCATTTAAAAAAAAAATAAAATTGTTTCTTAGGGAAATTAAAGCATTTTAGCTGAAGAGTCTCTTCTCCATTCCCAGACCAAGCAATTTAAATTTTCACCTCCCTTACCTTAGGTGGAATTTACTTCCTTAAATCTGCTCTGCACTGATCAAAGAATTGATACTCAATAGTCATATAGGAAGTCTCTCTCTCCACAAATAAATCTGCAAACACAAAATAAAAGTCTGTAAAAACAGAAACAATATCAAAGTAGGGCCAGAAGATTATGTGATGTAAGTGATGTTACAGTAAGGATGACATTAAAAAGTTTTGTGAATATACAGATGATTTTTAACATGCAGTTGTCTAAAATAATATTCCATAAAAAGGAAATAGAAAGTAAGCTTTATTGTCTATGGAAATCACTCTTTAAAAGGTTCTTTCAATTGTAATATATTGAAGCACATCTGTAAACGCTGACTGCAGTAGTAAGTTCATTTTACAGCCAGCACATGGGAGCTGGAAGTGTTGATCCCAGGCAGCTGAGGATGGCAAGGCCATTTGTTATATCATCAAGCAGGCACCTTTGTGCTTTCTCTCTTCCTGTCTCACAGATTTGCAGGAAGGTTTACATAAACAGTCCAGAAACCGTTTCACTATCGTTCCTCAAACCCATCCGTAAAACAGGCGTTTGCTATAGTGCCTCCATAGGGTGAGATGGAAATCAAGCCCCTGTCCATGGGCCTGCTGGCCAGAGGGATGCATGACATGGGGCCACCACTCCCTCCCTCTGTATGGGGGACAGGTCGTATCCCACAGCAGTCTCTCTGTCTCCAGAGGGAGGGCAGAGGGAGGTAGCTTGGATGGAAAGGTAGGTGCCTCGGTTAGGTGCCCCGTCCCCCAACCTGCCCTCGGTTCCTCTGCTCTGCCTCATCCATGTCTTTGCACTATCTTTTGTTTTCTGCCTGTGCTACGAGCCAATTGGGACGGGCTTTTCTCTTCAGGGTCCAGCACCCTTGTACCTCAGTTACTGTTCTTCTGCACTCCAATAGTAACGACAGACAGAGGTGTCTTCTTGGCTTTGATATTGCTACAAGATGCAACTGCCCCAAGAGCAGCACCCTGTGCCCACTGGGAGCTCACTCACCCCTCCAGTGTGGGGACCCCACTCACCATCCACCAGTGTGATTCTGGTGGAGCCATGGCCACGGCACTGAGGGAGGCAGAAGCTGCACATGGAGCAGGACATTGCCAAAGATGAAGAAGGTGACATTTCAGTGGGGACAGAGGCTTTCAGCGGGTAGTTCTTGGGGTCACCTGTTACTGGCAGAGATTCAGAGTCCACATGGGATTCCTGATTTTTTCTCTTTTCCTCCCACCAGGCTTGAGGTTTAAGTAAATGGATGAACTATAAATGACAAAGGGAAGGGCAAGAAAAGGGTTCCGACTGTTATGATGCAAATCCAGAACGCTTTTGGTTCCAACTATGTTCTGTTTCTGTTAAAAAATGAAAATACAAAGCCATATTTGTCAAAAAAATACTAAAGACCTGCTATGTCAGAAAATTATTCTCATAAACATCATTGTTTATATTATATTCTTTCTGTACATAATTTATAATATAATCTCAGCAGACTGTTTCCTGCATGAGGTAAAGAATTTAGTTTTTAATTATTTTTATGGCACCAACCAAAGGAAAAAAAGGTACATAGCTGTCACCAGATATTATTCCATTGCCTCCCAGTCTCATTGAACAGCAATGCAGTCTATTCATATGTTAATTATTTATTGAAAGACTCCATCATGTACAAAAAAGAAGTTTTTAATAAAGGAGGCTCAAAATGTTGTTTATGTTTTGGCATCAAAATAATTGGTCTAATTATTAGATATGAGAAATATCTCCACTATTACTGACATGAAGAGTGCAAACAAACTTCAGCTGGTAGATCAAATTGCTGGACAAGGTCTGATTCTGATATAGCAGGCTAAAATCAGCTTCAGCCTCCAGTTCAGTAAGAGTTTTTTGGTTAACTGAGTAATAAATTTCAGTAATACACTTGCACCAAAATTAAGTTATTTATTTTCATATTCAGTTCATTTCAATATCTCCATATATTTTTTTCAGTGTAAGGTGTATTGTTTGAATAAATGTTTTGTTACTACATCAAAAAATTTTAAAATCAGACTTTTTGGAACCAAGAAGACACCTGAAAGGCTTTTGTGAAATGATCCATTATCTGGGTGTTCCTGTTGAAAACATAAGCAGTGAAACAGTTCGCAGCTTCCTACTTAAATTGCTGTTTTCAGACTTCAAATTTAGTATCCACAATGAAAAAGTGGAGACTAAGTTCATCAAGTTCACGTCACAGAAATTCTGCTCGCAGCTTTGAGGTCTGTAATGCAGGTTTTCCATGACCAAACCATTCCTGTGGGCTCCTATGTGGACAAGAGTTCACCCTCTGTTTTTGTTTCAGGCACAGTGATAAGCAACAGGCAGTTTAGCTAACCTGCCAGTTGCAGTCTTGATCTAAGTGAAGCCCAATTCTTCCTCTGGAGGCATAATGATTATTTACCTTAAGGTACTTTTCCTGAAAAAAAAATAGCTTGCATAGGCCAAATATGTTCAATGTTTACTGCATTTGATATATAGTAACTATCCTTCTTAAAAAAAAAATATTAAAAATGCACTAAGCTAAAAGCCCTCCTCATTTTAAAATAACACTATGCTAGTTTACATAGAGACTTTACAATCACATTATTTTTCAATAACTTATTTTCATTGATCGGTCTAACAGTTTGACATGTTATTTATGGGCTACTGTGATGAATCACATCCGTTTCCAAGGTAAAGTAAGCAAATTCTCTGTTTATAGGATTAAAGTTGAAGGTCAAACTTTGATTATATTTTCTATTCTACTACAGCAATATAAAGCAAGGCCTTTAGACTTCAGAATTGGCAACCAGTCATATGAGATGCTTTTATACTTAAAAATTGACCACAAATCTTGAGTAAATCATAATTAACATCCAAGAGGCAAGAAACCTAACAGATGACTGTGATAGACTTTAAGAGAAATTTATTCTGTGTTTTGAATATGCATTTTAATATTTTTTTTTTAACTTGCAAAGAGGATTTATTTATTTTTAATCTGTTTTAAGAAAAGAGTTTATGTCTACCGGAGTGTGAGAGCTGGGAAAACACTAACCTTCAATGCTTATGGTGTCATGTGGTATTTATCTAACTTGCTGGCCCACTGCTGTTGAACTTCTACCAGTGTATATTTATCAGTAAGCCATTGGCAGGTGCAAGTGAAATTTGCCGCGTCCAGAAATGTAATGTATAAACAACATTTAACCCCCTTTTTTAGCAACACATTATTAAAGTCTGAGTTGGGATCTCGGAGCTGCCGAAGCACTGGCAACCTTAAATTGTAAAGGATGTTGTTGTGCAATGTAATAATGAAAAGTAATTACCCGAATGCTCTCCACTCCAACCACACACAATGCCCAGCACACTCACACAGCCGAAGGGAGGGGGAGGAGACGGGGGAACCATTTGTGTTAAAAGATAAACGTGTGCCGATGAGAATCTCATCCAAAATATCCCCACTAAATTATTTAACAAAGGAAGCCTGAAAGGGAAGATTGTGAAGTGTATGATTTCAGTGAGGCGTGGAAAGGTTGCTTAGGAGGCTTCTTGTGATGCAACGCAAGGATTGTTGCATTTAGATTAGAGGTACTGACCTTGCTTCATCACCCAGCTTTATAAACCTGTCTCTAGTGTGCATGCTTTTTTTTGCCTTGGAAGGATTTATGTCAAATCGTTTGTTATCACATACATCGTTGTGCCAAGACTTGGCAAATCCTGGCTTGCAACTGCAGCCATCCTTTTAGGTCCGTACCGGGTAATATTTTTGCAGCATCCAAGGGAAACAGGCAGACTTTTTCCTTCATACGAGAACTCTTCTTTAGAGATGTCTGAATCATGCTTAAATATTTTTGCACAGAAAGGCTTTGCTGTGGGCAGACTCCCTCCCTTACAAGCGTGGGAGGGGGAAGAGGCACCCATTCACACAGGATCATCCCCAGCCCACAGGACTTTGTGGTGCTGGATATCTCCAGGGACCTATCCCGGAGCTAAAAGGGAAATGATTGACCTTAAGAAGAAGGGGTTAGCACAGAAAGACTGAAACATAGGCCATGCTGTGGCCTCGTGAGGAAGGCGATGATGCTAGAAATGAGTGAGGCTGTGCAAACTTTGCTGTCTGTAACTATTAACTGACATAAATCTAGGAATCTCTCTAGTCTGGAACCCATATTGGCCCTTTTCAGCTGTTCGGGCACTGTCCAATGGGTGAAAAGGACAGAATTAGCCAAGGAGTCCGAGCTGCCTCCTGGGTGTTGCAAGCTTCAGCTGCATCGAGTTAAGGATGAAGAAAAGCTGAAAGCATGCTGGGGAAGTCTGGCAGAGCTGACTGACTTCAGGAGAGCGAGACTGGACATACAGCTCTCACACAGTCCCAGAGAGCTGGCCAGTGACACAGGATTTCGTAGCTCTGAAGCCCCAGAGTGTGCCATTGGTCTCAGCTCTAAGCAAAAGGAAATTCGTAAATGCTCCAGTCCAGGAAAAGCCTCAGGAAGCACAAACTCTGAAACAGTTTATCTCAGAGACACAATTTGTGCCACAGGCCTACACCTACAATTTGCTGCACCCTTCTATGCAAATTACTTGGCTGGAACAGCAAGTTCACTATCAGAAAGACAGAACGAAGGTTGTATCTGTTTCCTTACCTGAGTGTTTCCTGCCTTGGACAGGGGCAAATTAACACACACACACACCCCCCGTAGTGAAGCCAGAAGTGAATTTTGTGGTAAGGGAGCAGCTGGACCTCACGCAGCTCCTGCCAGGCACCCTGTGGATGCCTCCTGCCATCAGCTACACATTCAGTTTAGCAAGGCTTGACCCAGAGTTTATGCAGCTTGAACGAGAGGCAAAGTGGAGCCCCTGCTCTCTTTTATTCTCGGGCAGAGATATGGAGCGTCACACGCAGCCTTGTCCTTACTGAGTAAAATTTTGCATCCTCTTCAGCAATTTGCTCTCTATCCCTAAGTCACAGCACCACACCAATTAAATTATTCCATCTTTGATTTAGCACACAAAAGCATTTCTCTTGTGAAGTAGGTCTTCAACTTTGAGGTTTAGTGCAATTAAAACTAAATACTGCTAATTAGGAACCCAGTGCCTCAGCTATTACTCAAATGAATTCGGTCGTCCTATCTTAGGACCACTCACATGAGGAAGAATTTACAGGACTGGACTCCATATTCACGAAGGAAAAGGCTGCTTTTTTTCCCTAAGTTGCAAACAGCAGATGGGTCACAACAGGACCCTTACGCAGCATAAAGGTGAGCAAATAGATAATGATTTACAGGATCAGAATCCTCCCGAACACGCGGCTTGCACTCCACCGATTTCTGCTAACAAGCATTAAGCTGTGCACAGTTTTCTTGTGTGCTGTGACTTTTGACAACAATAAAATGTTCCCTATTGCCATATGACACAGCCAAGTCCAGATGTGCTGTTTTGGTTTGAGATGGTTAAACTTTTTTTGTTACTATGGAGATTATCTACTGAATGGTTTACTTACCGCCCCGAAGCTGTCATCGTGTACTGTTTAATTTATAAAGCCGGTCCAAATCTCTGTGGAAAAAAAAGTCACCAATATTTCTCACAACTTTCTTTGATTTATTTTTCAGTGTCAGCCAAGACATAACATTTATTATGATTCACCTTAGCATGATGACATTTCATTTTTCTTACTGAAGAAGATGTTCCTGAAAAAGGAGATCAAAATCTCCTTAGCCTTCTGGATATCACATAATAAATGAGGGGATCTGTTTTTCCTCAGTGCCTCAATAGGAAGAAGTGTTTATGTTTCAGGACCAAGCCCCCACAGAATATTTACAAAATTTGTTGCGAGGTGTTGAGCCATAAATCTGAAGTTCGAAACCTACATCAAATAGAAATGAAGACCTATAAAACACAGTGTAAAACAAAAAGTCAGAAGAAAAAAATGTAAATATTTTTAAGAATTATTGAAATCCTTAAGTGTCTTCCCCATAAATAACACATGAAATTTATTTTATCAAATGGACTTTGTTGCTAACATTCTAAATATTATAAATGAATTAAATATTTTCATTGCAGTGTGCTAAAATAAAAAAGTCAAACATTCTAGGGTTGCTATAGATAGCCAGCCAAAGCCCATTACACTCTTCCTTGAGTGAGAAAAAGAGAGAGACTTAAAATAGCATCTGCTTCACGTAAGAAATTGTTATCAGAAGCAAAAACCCTAAACTGAAAGTTACTTTGAATTTCATTATGGTAAATGAATATGAATTTGTTTTATTAAGGGGAAAAATGTCCTCCAGAAAGCTCATGGAAAACAATCTAAAGTAGGATGTGATAAAAAAAATAATACCCAGGTATCTTGCCATTCAGTAATTAGACTGTAGTTCCTTAGAAAACAGCACTACCCTCATGGTCATTTCATAACAACACTCACTTTATGTCATCCCACGATCTGCAAAGCATACTAGAGATTGTCTCTGGGAAGACTGAGAAAAGTGTCCTGATACATTCATATGTAACCGATATTTGCTGAAGTGTGCATATTTACTTTTCTGTATTTTTTTATTTATTAGCATTAAGAAATTGATATTATTTAAATTTATATGGAAACAGAATAAATATGTTCTAATACTAAGCACTGTATGCACAGGGAAACAGAGTCTGGGAGGCATTTCTATTCTGGGGCTTAGGTCACTTCTCAAGTCATATAAAGGCAGATGTCATAGGGGTCATATAAAGGTCTCTACTCTGATACTAGCATTAAGGAGCCCCTCTGTGGGAACACCCATGCTGGAAGACAGTGGGTTCTAAAAAACGTGGAGCCTGGCCCAACTGCCAGGACAAGAGTAGTTAGACAATATCAACTTCTTACAAAATAGTTTGTGGTTGTGGAGGAAAGGTGTTCTAGAAAGCAGACATTTCATTGCTGCAACCATGTTCAGGCACATGAGTGAGAAGCATAAAGCTGTTTCATTTCATAATGAAAAGAATTTCAGTCCTGCATCTGAAAGCTTCCACCCCTTGCTTTACTCCCAGTCATATTCCTCTCTTAGTTCTACCTTTCCCTCCTGCACACAGCATGTCAAACAACTACTTAGCCTCCTGGATTTTAGGCTAGTGACAGGGAAGCTTGGTAGCTGTGGCTGCACAGTACTGGTGATTCAGTGACTTTATGCAACTAAAATGGATTTCGGGATTTTTTTACCGGGTGATTTTTAGCCAGGCTATTCCCTATTCCAGTTGCCAGTGCCGTTGCACAAATAGATATGACACCAGCAGAGAGGCACAAAGGTGGGAATAAGAGGCTGGAAGGGTGAAGGGGCAGGAGCTTTTTACAGCAGCAGCCTCAGTTGGCATCCCGTTACAGCTTCACTCCGTCTTCTTTGCACACAGGACATTGCTCAGGCCTATATGCCGCCAGCTGCAGCTTCTGTTGTTTCCAGCTATTTCACAACTAGACACTTAATTGTGCCTTTCATTCCACCTGAAGGAAGGAGATTTAACACATCTGTTGCTCTTAACCAGTCCTGTGCTTTGCGCGCAGTTCAAAGGTTCACATGGTGGCTGCCTTAACCACTGGCAGGGCAGCAGTACAAAAGCTCTACAGTGAATGGAGGAGTTGTTTTTAATTAACTAAATATGTATTTAATTGTCTCAGCTGATCCTGAGGTTCCGTATAAGGGGAGACAACATCTAACATGTCCAGAACATATATGTCCCACTTCTGCCATGTAAATCATGGATCGGAGCCACCAAATGGGAACTACCTTGTGTGTGCTCCCCACTGGGACTGTGCGGGTAGGAATGGAGGAGCCATGGGCACGTCGGGCAGCTGGGGTAGACAGCCAGGTGAGGCTTGGACTATTAATGGGCTAGGAGGGTCACAACAACCCAGGAAGAGAAAACAGGAAACAGGCATCGAAAGGCTATAATTAGAGCTTGAAAGTAGAAGAAGGAAGCCAGTCAAGAGGGTGAAACTGTGGAGCAGTGATGGCAAAGCAACAAAGGGATGTCTGCTGGCAGGTGGGTGGTGGAAGGACTGTGTGGGGGTGGCTCTGAAGCCCCTCTACAGCCTGTGGTGGCTCCACCAGGCAGCCAAGCCTGGCGGTGCTGGAGGCGAGGGGCTCCCCCAGTGAGGTGCCGGCCCTTGATGGGGCTGGCTTGCTTTTGGAGCTCTCTGGCTCTTGGCACAGAGCGAGATTTCGGCACCTGACTCCCTTATATGGTGCAGATTGACCCTACAACTCTTTTAGATCACTGGGAATGAAATACAAATACATCCAGATTAAGGCTTGTTCCTACTGCCAGTGTGGGATAAAGCTTTACTTCCCCTGACATGGGCACACTCCACACCACAGGTACACACATTGTCCTTCCACCGGCTTGAGTTACCCTCATTTTACGCGCTGAAAGCCGGCCTCATACAAGTTACCCTGATGTAACCATGTATGCTGCATCACTCTGCCTCCGTGCAACATATATCCTGCAGGTAACTTGTGCTGCCACGTATGTCACAACTGAATTTGGCCCAGAAGTGTCGTTGGCTGGTTTTTTTTTACATTCCACCTTTGTCTGAAGATCTTTGGTAACAGTATAAACCACAGCCAAAGCTGAATGCTAATCTCCTGAATTTTGAAAGCACAATAGGCAAAGTCAACCTCTGAATACATCCAAAACACAAGCACTCGGGATACAAACATTCACAGGAAATAACAAAGAAAGCCTTGCCATTTCCACAATCAAATAATAGCACTAGTGCTGAACAGAGAACAATTTTAGAGAACAAAAATGTAGCAAGATTAAAAATATACCTGATTAAAAGAGACTCTTTGTTTTGCCAAATGCTTGGTCTTTTGTTAGAAACAGAGAATTCCCTTCAATCGTGTGGGTTGAAATTTATGGGAATAAAATCAACAGAAAATGTAGGACACGATTTTCTGCAATGGGTGGCCAAGCAGTTATTTATCTGCAGTGCTGCGACAATGGAGACTTGGTTTCTATTTGCTGATGTGTGAATTACAAACCGGGGGGAAAAAAAACCTGCAATGATCTCACTCGGGTGCACCTCAGACTGCTGCCAAAACTGAGGAATATCTAAAACACAATTTATTTACAAACAGGTCTTTCCTTTTTGCACAGCTTGTGCTGTTCCAAGGAAATAGCTGTGTCCTACAGCTAAGTATGGTGTCACATCTCTAGTCATCCTTTCTCCATTTAGTCACATGGTGAAATTAAAATTGCATCTAGACCAGTGCACAGAAAACCAGACCTATTTCCGGAATTACACTGCAAAATTTAGAGTCTAATTGCTTGGCAAAGCAAGATTCTCTCTTATTTATTCATCTTTTTAGTCAATGAGGATATATTCTCCCGCTTGTAATAAAAAAACCCAAATATATATATCCAAACAATGTTTGCTTCCAGTAAATAGAACTGAAAAGCTGCCCCCGTTGACAAGTGATAGTAAGCAGGGAAAGGAGGTTCAAACAAAATGGGAAAGATCATGTTTTCAGCTGATATGACCATCATAAAACACTGGTATATCTTTTCACTTGGTAAATGGCTGAAATCTTGGTGTTCACAGTGTTTTACACAGCCTGCCCAGCAAGGGATGGAGAAACATTGCCTGGAGTCCCAGGCAACTGCCCTAGCCTCAGAGCTGACCTCCAACCACACCGTGCCAGGATCTGCAGGGACACCCGCTCACTGCCTGGTGTGCCCAGGAGTATCAAACCCCACTCCAACCCTCTACTTGCCCCTTGTGCTTGTTTGTGACACACGATGCGACAGTTCCCAACTATCATGGGCCCAGGCTCAAGCATCGTGGCGGCTGAACAACCTGAATCACAACATAGCCCTTTGGTGCAATGGGGCTTGATTCTCACTTCGCTTACACCAGGCTTGGCCCAGCACTGCTGCATGGACTTTTACTGAGCTGCTACTGATTTAGCCAGGAGTAATCAGGAACTAGCTTTTCTCAGTTACTTTCCAAGTTTGGGGGTTGCCCTGTCAGAGCAATATGAGTAAGGGTGCATCCACCTGAGGGTGGCCTGTCCACAGCAGAGCTAAATGCTACCACTGTCATCTGTTTTTTTATTCTTCCCATGTCTTCAAATCATAATTTAAAAAGGGTACAAAAAAGGCATGGTTAAGAATCCAGCCCTGCCATCTGATGGGTCCATTTCTAATGCTCACCACTCATGATCAGAGTTGCATGGTGTGGAGCATAGAGACAACACGATTGAGGTTTACCTGGGTGATTTACAGGCAATCAAATGTATGCGCTAATGATCCCTCTCCATCCCAGTCCTTTCCTCTTCTTTCCTAGCGCTATGATGCCTTGGCACCACAGGCTGCTTAACCAAGATGTGCTGAGAAGCAGTTCAAAGTACTTGTGGTGTCTGCCTGTGTGTATATACAGGTGAGACTGAGAGAAAGAAGATTTTACAGAGGTGAGAATATGGACCAGTTTATTTTTCCTTTAAACTGCACTCTTCCCTCAGGGTGCTGAAACTTTCTTCCTTGGTGTAGCTGGCCATGGCAACCTGGGGAATCCATAAAGATTTTAGGGGCAAGAGAAGTTGGTGGAACAAAGAATAACATTTTCCAAAGAACCTGGTAAAAGAAAAATATATTATGTCAAGATCCCCTGCCTTCTTTCTGATCAGTGCTTTTCATCACACCCATTTTTTTCTCTAAACACGCTTTTTTTTCTCTCTTTTCTCTCCCATATCTTTATTTTTTTCTGAGCTTTACACTGAAAGTTATATCTAATCTGTAATCAAGTTTTAGATAATTCTGCTGCACTTAAAGCTCAGGTGCAGCCGCCAGCACCAGCGTCACAACCACACAAACTGAAATAGAAGGCAGGGTTTCCTGCTTACAAGAGGAACACCAAGCAG